CCCCTACATACATACATACACACAAACAAACAAGGGTTATCTGCTCTTTCATATTAATTGGTCCATTACAGAGAGTGATGATAGGTTATGCTCGGTTGTCAAAAGCTGTCATTTTTGGTGTGACGACAACACCTTCTGACGCAAGTGATTTAAGTAGTCCATTGTGCAGACCAGACTGCTGTCGGACAAGTTTTTGTAAATACATGGACTAGTTGTAGTTTGTGGGTTTATACTGTATATTGATGCATAACGTAAGAGAAAGTAGATGGAAATGAGAAGAGAGAGAAATAATAATCTATTCATGTCAGCACAGGTGCTACTTTCTATAAATGCTTTTAAGGTTGCAAGTCAATTATTCTCTTGTAAACAGTTGCATTGTTTCACTGTAACTGTTACGGTTATGTTCCTCAGTGCTTTGAACTGTTTACTAACATAAGCATGATAACATCTTACTTCTTACTTACTTCTTTTTTCATTTTTGGCTTTTGGATATTTTTCAGATTTAGGTTCATATCTTAAAATGGCCCAAATCAGAATTTAAACTTGTATTGTCTGTTTAGATATGTGCAACAAATGTGGGATAATATCAGAAAAGAAGTTTGATTGTGCCACTTTTTTGCAGACTGGTTGACAAACTGTCTCTCTTCAGGCCCAGCTCAGAGAGCTTCAGCAGGTAGCTGAGGACCTACAGATCAAATTAGAGGATCACAGAAGGAAGAAACACGAGGCTGACCGACTCAAAGAGCAAACACTAAAGGCGCTGCAAGCCGGGGACAGCGGTAAGTGTCCTGCCACCTTTGACCTTCCATAATTTGGTTTTACTCCATTCAAAGCAATTGAATTCACAGAATTGCTCGACTTTGTCGATGTAGTTAGGCCATTGTTATGGCGACCACGGGGCAGCTTCCATTTTATTGAACAAAAGCAAATTGACCTTAGCGCTTCAGGCCAGATGGTCAGGATGACAAATGGTAGAACTTCAGAAACACCTGGAAGGGTTAAATACAGATGCCTGTGCCATTGAAATAAATGGACTAGGAGAGGAGTGCTGAGCAACAGCAGATTGCAGCCCCACGTCTTTCCTTTTACGTTCCTCAGACCTTCAGAGAGAAGTTGCTCATGACTCACAGGAAAGTTCCCTTATCGTTCTAAGCACTAGCTGGCTCGGCATTTAAGTGACGTTCAGACTTGCGTATGTGAATGTACAGAAAGTTGTGGGGCTGGAGACGAAAATGGGTTCAATCATTTTTGCACTGAAGTCCATAAGGATTTAGAATCATTGTGTGTGTGTGTGTGTGTGTTTTTGGGGGCAAACTTTACATTAGCTTTAAGTTTGTGTCAATATACCAAGCTAAATGCATCAAATCAAGCAAAAAATGTATTCCTAATAATGCCATTTGTCTACTTTTTAACGCTTTGCTGTCGTGTTTCCTACATCCTTCTTTGATGCCATGGAATACTTGTAATTAATTGTCTGCTTAGTGCCAAAAATAAAAGTTTTAGCAATAAAGGTCATTTGACTTTGCTGGTTCCTGTGAGCATGCTTCCATCATGCATCCCACTGCGCGAGCTGACCTTAGACGTGACAGGTCCCCCGTATTCTTGCGCATCCTTTACTTCCATTACTGCTCATCTTCAGGGCGTAACAATCATCAGTTTTCATTTTCGCGGTCGTGTTGGCATTGTCTATGTTGGCTATCCATCTACGCTTTCATTGTGGAGTTCTAATGACCGTTTGTGTGTGTGTGTGTGTGTCAAAGGGACATTTTAGTGACTTAAAGGTTACTTGTCTATCCTTTTTCCTGCTTGCAACTTATAACGTTACATATGTAAGTGTATAACACTTTATGGCTCTCTGATGGACCTCACTGTTATTATTTAGGGGTGGCAAGTTGTTACATCTTTCAAGCACATTTTGATTTCATTCCTGGAGTTAAAAGACAGACACAGTAAAGCAGAGATTGTACAAATGAACTAATCATGAAGATATATTTTCCCAAGCTGTAACTTTTATATTTGATGGAATTTTAAATGTGATCTGGCTAATGCATGGCTTGTTTTCAAGAGAATGTGCCAGGCAACAGTTAGAGCTCACCTACACCACAGTTTTAAATGTATTTTCTTTCCAGTAACATTTCATAATTTGCTGACATTATATTTTACATTCACATTCTATGCCGTAAGATCACACCCATATTCAGATCAACTTACTTCAAATGACTTCAATTGGGTTTAGTTTCCTCGCTCGAAAGTTTCTTGGATTGCACAGCTCCTCCAAACTCACAAAATATCATGAAGTAAATGGCCAGAGTTTTCTCCATGTTATTATAACTCTTTAACATCATGTAATTTTGCTGTCATGACTTGTCAAGTAAATGTCAGGCTTAGGGAGCAACAATTAGGAGTCTTTAACTTGCTTTAGAGCTCCTTTCACCCCTTATGCACTCACTAATACACATGCATATTGTATTAAACATATCTCCTAACCTGTACATTCTATGTGCTTCCACTTTATTTGTTAAACCTTCAACAGGTTTAACAAAAAGATCCTTTCACAACTGAGGACCCATGAGGACGAACATTGAGTTACCTCAATTAAATATAGGAACATCACAACAAAGATTTTTTTTTTTATCATCAACGTCATGTCTTTCCCTTTATGACTTGTCAGTAGCTTCTCTCAAAATAGGAAAGAAAAGCCAGAAGAACAAGCAGCTGAGCCTGCAAAGTAGAACTTAACAGTCTTTCCCTTTACTGCTGCTGTCGCTCAAATGTGTCTCCAGGGCTTCTTGCACAGTTATTGAGAAGTTTTAAAGGGCCAGGTTATTTGAACCCTCAAAGAAAATTGCTGTTTCTCAAGGTGCAATGCTTTTGTTACGATGAAACAGTATTTGCAGGACTGAGATTGTTATATTGTGTGTCACCATTTTATTTAGCATGTGAAAACGATAGTCCAAGGCAACTTGAGCTATTTCTAGTTCCCTCCGGTCATAGAGCCCTTTGGCCCTTAGCCAGAAAGCCAACATTATGCTAGCAATATTCAATAATAATACAGCATACGGTTGACAAACAGTAAATATAATTTAGGCCTGCATGATATGGTAAAAACATATTGTGATTATTTTGACAGATATTTCGATTTCAGCATGATTCATAGTGTGGGAATGATAATTTTTACATCACAAATTTGTTTTTTACTGAAAAAACTACTAAAATTATGATGCTTTATAGTGATTTTGGCGTTGTATACCAAACATGTCCAAGAAATAATTTCACAGATTGATAGGACCACATTATTGAGCTGTATCCTGTCATTTCATTAGCTAGCCTCGGTATTTATGATGCTGTCACATTCTGCAAAGCATTCTTAGAGTCTGCTTAAATCCCCATTGAATAACAAAGACTTTGCTGTTCCCGGCTCTTCAGAAAGGACACTGATCACGTGTGCTTGTTTTTAAAAAAAAAAAAAAA